GTTTCCTTTCTCTTTTCTGTGACATAAGTCCATTTGTATTTCTGACAAAAGTGCACATTCCAAGCACACTTTCCTGGACAGACCTGACACTTTCCGTCTTTCATGGCACTGCATTTATATTTATCACTGTCATTTGCATAAATGCATGTATCATGACATGTGAAGTGACAGGTTTGGCAGTTGGTTAAGAAGTAATCAGTGTTGTTTTCAAACATTTTTGGGACAGTTACTTCTAATTCATACTCAAAATCCTTGTTTGCATCCATTTCAGCTTTGTGCTGCTCCAAAGCAGCTCTTGTCTTCTTTATTTCATCCAGTTTTGTCAGACCAGCATTGATTTGGGGCTGGAGGCCTTGCACAAGCACATGTAGCTGTTGCCGTTCTTTTAGGACCTCCCGTGTCAGAGACAAGCTCTTGGTTTCCATCTCGTTAAGAGATGTGAATAATTTCTTCATGCTACAAAATCCTAACTTCCAGAACATTTGATCAAAGTTTTCACCACCAGACTTCTTATCCTCTTCACTTTTATTATTGATAGCAAACAGAGCAGAGTTGTTGAACTTGAAGTAAAGTGGCTCTTTAGACTCATTTATAGAACAGGGCACCTCAGAGACTTTGATGGCCTCGAGAACAGGAGGTTTTTTCCCATCCGCAAAAGTGACCATCATAAGGATGTTTTCAGCAATATCCTTCCCAAATATGGAAAGAATGGAATCAAAGATGTATTTCTGTGTGTGTGTCAGACGAGCAAGTGAAGCCTGTACTACAAAACACACAGCATCAATGCAGTCGATCCCTTCACGGGCAGAAAAGATGCTGTTAATTAGAGTGGTTTTTCCTGCACCTGTGGCTCCGATCATCATAATGGTTTTGTTTGGTTTTTTGGTGTTTTTTCCAAATGTGCTTCTTCTGCAGAATCCGTCACTATTCTGCCATGTTTCATCCAGCTGGAGTTGAAATATTGGTGGGCTTTCATTGCTTCCATCTTCTATTTTTCCTTTTCCACTCCAGTTGTTCTTTATAATTTGTGCAACACTGAAGCCCTTTCCATTGCTGTGGTCTTTTTCCATGGGTTTACTGCTTGTGACTTCTCTTGACATGTTTTGATTTTTGTTAACAGCAAACTGGCAGAGTCTAATTGTCTTTTTCAGACCTTTTTCCGCCTCTGATGGTTAAAGGAAAAGAAAATAATTGTACTTCCATTCATAAATACAATATATAAGAGGTGAGTACAACCCTGTGTAATGTCACTAAAATGTATATAATTAATTAATTTATTAATCATTAAGTATTCAGTAGTCACACTATGTAAGGCTGTACGCTACCTATACAAATCTTTATATTTTTTGTGAACAGACGACATTTTGTGCTATTACATGTTTCAGTAAAGTATTCTATTCAGTTTGAAAATTAATGTATTTCCTAATAAACTCATGTTAGACATTTTTAATCTAAAGATGCTTTAAATATAACCTTACAAAGAGGGAAATTCAAATGTTAACCCAGTTTGATCTGGTGCAATGAGTTGTGGCAAATATACCTCTAATTTTTTGGCAAGTATTTTGGATAGAATTGTAGCATCAACATTGATTAGAGATACCAGGCGATAAAATTAACATTCCATAGGGGAGAGTGGGGTAAGATGAGCCATTTTTAACTTGTGTGGTCCTCAAGATAAGAGAAAATGAGGCAGAAGTACAATGCAGGTATCTAAAGTATTTTCAGGATGTTTCCTATCTTTAAATTATCAGAAAGTATCTATGACAAAGAGTTCTAAAAATATGGCTTCTTTTAAAAAAAAATTCCCGTGGCTCAAATTGCCCCATGTTAGGGGTAAGTTGACCCAAGTCAGAAGGTGAGATACACCATTTGGGTGTAAACTGACCATCTAACTGAATCTGATTCAAACCCATGTGAAATTTATAAGATAATTTACATCTTTTAAAAACTAGTTTGATAATCAAATTTCCTATTACAAACATCTTATTTCTTTTTAAAAGCTAACTTAAACAACATAAAATCAACTAAATGAAGTTTAAATTTCAATATATTTAAATGTTTGCATTTCTGAAACAATATGTTGAACACCAAAGTTGTAACCTTCCCAAAAACAGACTAAACAGGGTTTGTTGAGTAAAATTAAATAAAAACTGAATTAGAACGAATGAAACAAATGTCACTGAAACTAATAAACATTTTAGTCAAGATTCTTGGCATGGTAGCTTTTCTGCAAAGTTGAACAGGCCTTTCGAGACTGCAGGTGGAAATATATATATAATTATAATGTGATGAAAAGCATCTTTTGGTTCTTATCAGAAAATAATTTGGTGCACTTGTACACTGTCCCTATCAAATAAACTACAAATAACTTGTACATATATGATAAACTAAACCAGTTGCGCAATATCAAATTAAAATACCAGTTTATATTTCAGAGATTTACCTTAACTTCAGTGTCTTATGGTGGTCCACAGCATTTGGCTCACTTTGCCCCATAGCTGCCATTTTTGAAAAAAAAATCTAGCTAGCTTACCAATTCAGGCTAATATTTACCTAAAAGATTTGCATGGTTTTATACGTTGCTAAATCACCTATATGCATCATAAATATTTTTAGACCTGGATGAATTTGCCTTGATGTAATAGCCATTATATCTATTATGCTAAAATTTTACTTTGACAAGCCAAAAACAGTTTTTAAACTAATAATAATAATAATTCATTACATTTATATAGTGCTTTTCTGCTTTTTTTTCTAAGCACTCAAAGCGCTCTACATTGTCTCCTCATCCACCACCAGTGTGCAGCATCTACCTGGATGATGTGACGGCAGCC